AGGTCTATTAATATTTGCCTTGTAAAGTTAAAGGCTTCTACTGTTATATCATTGCTGCCAATTTCCCCTTTTTAGGTCTATTAATATTTGCCTTGGTTTAGCATATACATTTATAAATGTTGTATCTTCTTACTTGATTGACCCCCTTGTCATTATGTAGTGCTCCTTTCTGTCTTTCATTTAAGTCTTTGTTTTAAAGTTTACTTTGTCTGATATGAGTATAGCTACAACAGCTTTCTTTTTATTTCCATTTGCATGGAATATCTTTTTCTGCTCCCCACTTTCAGTCTGTGTGTGTTCTTACTTTTGAAGTGAGTCTCTTGTAGGCAGTATATAGATGTGTCTTGCTTTTTTTTTTTTTTAATCCATACAGACACTCTGTATTGATTGGAGAATTTAGTATGTTTACACTTAAATTAATTATTGATAAGTGTGTACTTACTGCCATGCTGGTAATTGTTTTCTGGCTGTTTTTGTAGTTCTTCTCTGTTCCTTTCTTCTTTTTTTTCTCTTCCTTTGTATTTTGATGATTTTCTTTAGTGTTGTGTTTAGATTCCTTCTCTTTTGTGTGTGTGTGTGTGTGTTTACTATCAGTTTTTGCTTTGTGGTTACTATGAGGTTCACATATAACATCTTATGTATATAAGTCAATTTTTAAAAAGATTTTATTTATTCATTTGACAGACTGAGAGAGAGAGCACAAACAAGGGGAGTGGCAGGCAGAGGGCAAGGGAGAAGCAGGCTCTCTGCTAGCAGAGAGCCCAATGTGGGGCTCCATCCCAGGACACGGGGATCACGACCGTGGCCAAAGGTAGAGGCTTAACTGACTGAGCCACCTGGGCATCCCTATAATAGTTGATTTTAAGCTGATTGCAACTTTAATTAAATTTGAACACATTCCAGAACTACTTTTTTACTCCCCTCTCCAGAGCTAGTTTATGTTTTTGATGTCACATTTTACATGTTTTTATTTTATGTATCTCTTAACTAATTATTATAGTTTTAGTTAATTTTACAACTTTATAAGTGGTTAATTCACTACCTTTACTATATATTTACCTGTTCCAGTGAGATTTTTTTATTTTGTATGTTTTCTTGTTATTAATTTGTGCCATTTCTTTTAAGCTTAAAGAAATCCCTGTAACATTTCTTGTAAGACCGGTTTAGGAGTGATGTACTTCTTTAGCTTTTGCTTATGTGGCAAAGTTTTTATCTCTCCTTCAATTCTGAATGATAACCTTGCTGGGTAGTATATTCTTGGTTGGAATTTTTTTTCTTTCAACATTTTGACTCCTTCCTGGCTTGCAGTTTCTGCTGCGAAATCTACTGATAGCCTTATGGGGTTTCCCCATGTACATAACAATTTGCTTTTCTCTTGCTGCTTTAAGATTTTCTCTTTACTTTGAACTTTGGACATTTTAATTATAATGTGTCTTGGTGTGGATCTCTTTGGGTTCATCTTACTTGGAACTCTCTGGACTTCCTAGAGCTGGATGTCTGTTTCCTTCCCTAGGGAGGTTTTTAGCTGTTATTTCTTCAAATAACTTTTCTGCCCCATTTTTTCTTTTTTCTCCTTTTGGGACCCCCCTATAATGTGAATGTTACTCTACTTGATGTTGGTCTCTTAAGCTGTCTTCATTTTTTAAAATTCTTTTCTTCTTTTTGCTGCTCTGTCAGGGTGAGTTTTATTGCTTTGTCTTCCAGCTTGCTGATGTGTTCTGTTTCATCCAGTTTGCTGTTGATCCCCTTAAGTATATTCTTCAGTTCTATTATGTTCTTCAGTTCTGTGACTTCTGTTTGGTACTTTCTTTTTCTTTTTTTTTTAAATTTTATTTATTTTTGAGAGAGAGAGAATGACAGAGAGAGAATGAGAGGGGTGAGGGTCAGAGGGAGAAGCAGACTCCCTGCTGAGCAGGGAGCCTGATGTGGGACTTGATCCCGGGACTCCAGGATCATGACCTGAGCCGAAGGCAGTCGCTTAACCAACTGAGCCACCCAGGCGCCCCCTGTTTGGTACTTTCTTATAATTTCTCTCTCTTTGTTGAAGTTCTCACTGTGTTCACTCATTCTTCTCCTGAATTTGGTGAGCATCTTTATGACCATTACTTTGAATTCTTTATCAGGTAGATTACTCATCTCTTTTTCTGAGGTCTCATCTTGGTTTTTTTTTTTTTGGAAGGTATTTCTTTGTTTCCTCATTTTGCTTGACTCTGTGTTGGATTCTATGTATTGGGCAAAATAGCTCCTTCTCTCAGTCTTGAAGGAATGGCCTTGGGTAGGTGATGAATCTTCTTGTTCACCCTTTCCCTAGCTCTTGGTTGTCTCTTTGTGATTGTCTAAACTGCCTGATTTATTCTTTACGTGTCCCAGGTGTTGAGGGTATGTCAAGACCTGTTAGTGTTCCAAGGGGAGGAATTTCATTTAGCACTTAGCTTAAGGCTGATTGGAAGACCCTCAGACCCTCAGGCAGCAGCTGTAAAAGTATGCAAATATATACAGTCCCTTGGGGGCAATTGGAAAACTAGCTGACCTTTAGACTGGGTGATTTAGAGGTGTCTCCTAGATGAGAGTTGCAAAAACTAGGGCTCCAGACAAGTGTATAAGCTCCTTTCTGGGAGGTCTTATTGAGCTATAGCAAGACCAAGAGGGTGTGCAAGGATTGTGTCTGCCTGCCAATGTTCCCTGGGAGTGCCTCTTAGCCTCTAGATGTATGGGAAACCTGAAGCCTGTACTTCAGCCTGAAGCTCCAGGCTAAGTAAATAGGCCTTTTTTACAGGAAGATTGTGTGTTTTTGTCTGCTATCTGTGCATTGCCCTGGGGTGGGGGTGGGAGGTGGCCTGCCAAGAACTCTTTCTAATTGTTACATTCCTGTGGAACTCAGGAACACCAGTGTCTTGGCCACCAGGGTCAGGTGATCAAAGGTTGTCCCCTGTGTGGATGCTGTCCATGCACACTGAAATTATGCCAGTTTTGCATATCAACAATTATACTTGGGTTTATTAAATCAATATATTGCAAGTGCCAGAGAGACCTCATAATAAGCCTCTTCATGCATGGATTACATGAGTATCTTACAACCAACCTCCAGGATGACTTACAATATGAAGCAACTGAAGTTCAGTTTCAGAACATGAAGGAAAAGACAGGGTATTGGGTACTGGAAACCTACAAAATATCCAAATCTTACTCCATGGGTAAAACTCTTCTCTTTATCATATTTGTTTATGAATTATAAAATGTACTGCCCTAAATTTCATTAAAAAAGTTGTTTTCCCTGCCCATTCTCTGAGGGTGGAAAGATAGAGGGTGAATAAAATATCAAAGGAGATTAAAAATCCTCAAACCACATCCTTGATTCCCAAAGTAATATTAACCCGGGAGTGCTGCCATCCTCTGAGACTGGTGCTTCCCACTGCAGCCTCCTAGAACATCGTGGATTTCTTGACATTCCCCTCACTGTCTTTGAATTCTGAAGATGTTGCCAGGGAGAAAAGGAGCTAGGGAAAGGAAGGGGAAGGATGTGGGATAAAGTATAAAATATACTTTTGGAAGAAAACAACTAGCAATTTCCTTTACAAGGTTTTTGCTTGGCTTTAAATTTTAGTAAGCTTTTTATGCAGTTTGATGGTGTCTGAGTTTCTACCATTATAACTGCATTTGTTTGGCTTAAGATTTTGTTAAGACTCTTAAAGTGGAAATACCTCTGGGACTCATACGCCTACTGAGCAAGGAACTGCAAATCAATGACATTGACCACAGGAAGTGGTGGGACTATGGTAACTTGGAGAAGACATGCCAGTCCATAAGGACAGCCTCTGCTTAGCTTGGCCAGCTGTTCCTAGGCAGGAGTGTGGACCTTATGATTTTTTTCCAAAAGTTAGTGATCAGCATTTTTATGAGAAATTTCACAATTTTTAAAGTGTTAGCAACTAATCCCACATTAAAAAAACACACAGAGAAGGCCAACAAAACACATCTGTGGGCTGGATGCTGTCCATGGATCACCAGTTAGCAACCTTTGTTTTGGACTTGACTGTTCACTGGACCCCCACTGTGAAATAACTTATCACATCCTTTGTTGGTACAGAGCAGAAAGAGGGAGAGGAGACATGTAGGGTCATTCACACAGAGCTGTGAGGGAACAGAAAGGAGGAGAAGAGGGGTGAGGGGAGAGAAGACAGAAGTGAAACCTTCATTATTCTGAATGGACTGGCCATGGGCCACCAAGCCCCATGGTAGATAAGCTGCCTTTCCATAAAAAAGAACAATATAAAAGGACAAGTCAAATCCTACTATTTCTGGATGTTGTTAATTCTGAATCTGAACTTTTTGAGTCATTCTTTACATATGGAACTCATAAAAGAATGTAAAAATTATTTTCAGGGGGAACGTGCAGTATCCCTGACAGATAAGCAAGTTCATAGCACTTATTTACATAACACAAATGAAAACTACTTATAGGTAATTCTTTTCTAGCCCTTGATTAAACAGATCTCTAAAGACTTCCTCGGGCTCCCTGCTCAGTGGGGAGCCTGCTTCTCCATCTCCCTCTGCCCTGCTGCTCCCCCTGCTTGTGCTCTCTCTCTGTCAAATAAATACATAAAATCTTAAAAAAAAATAAAGACTTCCTTACTGTTGCGTTATATGTAAAAATATTATGTTAATTATATTTTATAACACATAATTTTAGCTTGTTTAGGTGGGCTTTTAATCAAGCTCTGAACATGGGATTTCATTGTGTTGTTCTGAACCTGATCACAACCCTCAGGTGGATGGCAAATGGGATCATCCTTCCACCCACCATGAGTTGGTAAATGTTCCCATTTCTCTATGAGCTTATTGAAATCTCTTCTTCCTACTTCCTCCAAAGGACAGCCTTTTCTGCCTCAGGGAGGAATAGAAATATAGACCACAATGATGGAGACCTCCCAGATGTGCACAAGAAGCTGCCCTCCAGCGCTGGAGAGGACCGAGCCATGCTGCTAGGGTTTGCAATGATGGGCTTCTCTGTCCTCATGTTCTTCTTGTTTGGAATCACCATCCTAAAGCCTTTCTTGCTCAGGTAAGAAGCAGAGAAAGGAGACCCAGAATTTTCAATTCAGATCAGACCAAGCACAAAGGTAGAGAAGAGGCTGGCTTTGGCTTCTTCAGCCCTCCTGATCATTGTCTAAGGGAAAATAGAATCACCTGTTTGTCTCTCAGTGCTGGCAGGAAGCGGGGTAAGAAAGCGAAGATATTCCTTGGCCACTCCCCCTCTTCAATCTGAAAAGTACTTTCAACAACTAATCCATACATTAGATATGCGTGTAGGTAATAAATTCTTCCTTTAACAAGCAGATATCAGGGGCACCTGGATGGCTCAGTCGGTTGAGCATCTACCTTCGGCTCAGGTCATGATCCCAGAGTCCTGGGATCAAGCCCCACATTGGGCTCCCTGCTCAGTGGGGAGTCTGCTTCTCCTTCTCCCTCGGCCTGCCACTCCCCTGCTTGTGCTCATGCTTTGTCTCTCCATCAAATAAATAAATAAAATCTTTAAAAAACCCAAACAAGCAGATAGAACAGGGAATAGTTAATTTAAGTCTTTTACATGAGCACAAAAGTTATTTGAGTTTTTTGAGTTTGACAATGTCTAGCACATAGTAGTTGCTCAATAAATATTAGTTTCCTTCCTTTTGTTTTAATTGGTTTCCTTATTAAATAGATCTAATAACAATTATCATTTATCAAACATATACTATATGCCAAAATATACTATATTTTATCCTATTTAAGTCTATAGCAAACCTATGATGGTACCATTATCATTTTAATTTTCCTTTTATAAATAAGAAAGCTGAGACTCAGAAAGGCCAAGTAACTTGCCCAAGTTCACCTAGCCAGTAAAGAACTTGCCTGTCATTTTGATATAAGACTCCTTGCCTCCTAATACTTAAATGAAGTTTGCAGCAATAGGGAAGATGGGAGATTTCATTGGGGCAGGGGAGGAGCTGTATAATTTTGGAGGATGATTTACACAACATGGGGTACTTTGAGGGAGGGCAGTACTGCATAGGGGAAAAGCAAGGGACACTTTCCCTTTGGTTAGCCAAAGAATGATAGAAAGTTGGGAGAATGGGGAGAGGGAGGCCTAGGAGTTCAGTGAAGAAAAAGGGTCATAGGATAGGAAGTAGGTGGCCTGCTTTTGTTACTTATCGGATTCATCTCCTGCCATTCCTAAGTTACATTATTAGGGCAATAATGTGGAGGTCTCCATCGCTAGAGCACATAGCGCCACTATTAGAAGTGCCCAGGAGATTTTTCCCTCTGCTATTAGTACTGGGAGAATATGTTCTTCTGATCAACCAGCTTTTTATTCAGTGGACACCAGGAATCTTCTATGTAGTTGTATTTCCTTCATTGCTTTGGCTGCTAGGAAGCTCAGAGCCAAATTTGTGGCCCAGTTCTCATAACTTATGGTCTGCAGGATACATGATTGTACCTCACTCTTGATTTCTAGCTTTCTACTTCCCTTTCCTATTACTCCATCATATATATATATATATATATATATGGGGGGAGATCTGTATCTATATCTACCTATCTGTCTAGCTACATTACACATATCTATGTAAACTGAATAAAGTGTGTGTGTGTGCCACACACACACACTTGTGTGCAGGTCCAGGTCAGATTATTTTTAAAATGTGATAATTTGGGAGATGGTTCAAGGATACCTTCCACAACCTGATGCCAAACTGTGGCTTATATTTACATTTTACTTTCCTAAGCATTTCTGGAAATTGTTTGCTTAAAGTAATTAAGTGGATGCTTAAGAGTATTGCGTTCTCCTCTGTCTCTTGCCTTGTGATCTTGTGGCACCTCACAGACTGGTTTTGCTCCACAGAAGATGACCTGGCTAGCTCGTACCTTTCCCCACTCCCTTAGACTCTCATCTCTCAATCCAATGATGGACTTTGCCTGCTTGTAGACGCAGACACACAGTGTTATTGAGAGAACACGCTCATGTTTTCAGCTCTAAATACATCCCTGGTTCTACTGGAGAGGCCTGGCCTGGTCCTTGTGCATGGGAATTCAGAGAGCTTAAGTTCTAACACAGATAAACAGGCAACTCTGAAGTATGATTTTAAGATACTTAGTCTAAATAAGTACAGAATTTAATTTTGTGAAAAAGCAAGCTAGTGTTAAACCTGTGAAAAGAACCTTATTTTCCATATTTGTATTCTCACTCGCCCAATATTTTGTTCTTCTTAGGCTCCATCCAGTGGTTTTTTTATGCCCTGGCCTTGAGATTATTTTAAACAGCACCGTCTCCCAAGTTTATTAAAGAAAATCCTTACTCATGACCAAAGATCTCAATGGGAGTGCAGTGTGAACCTAGTTTCAATGAGGGTTTTCAAACATTGACTTTAGAATTTGCTAATCTCACTTCTTGTGTTTAAGTCACCAGGAAATAAACACAGGGACCCACCTACATGTGTGAGGGTGCATGAGGGGCTGGTCCTGTACATTCAATCAAGCATTTCCTCTCACGTTCATTTACTCTTAGATTTGTCCTCTAATCATTTCATACATATCTGTCTTTTCAACACCACCACAAAATCTTCATGGGCAGGAATTTTGTCTACCACTTCTCATAGCACCTAGAACATTCCGTGTGTGTAGTACATGTGCAAATTCTCAAAGGAACGTTTTCCAAGTAAAACTTAATTCAGTGTAACTTATTGAGCCTCTACTATGTGGGAGGCATGGTGCTTCATGCTTTGAGCAACATAAAGATGAATAGGATGTATCCCCTAACCTCAAGGAACTTACTGATAGTAAAAACATAGTAAGCTTTTTTTTTTTTTTTAAGATTTTATTTATTTGACAGAGAGAGACACAGTGAGAGAGGGAACACAAGCAGGGGGAGCGGGAGAGGGAGAAGCAGGCTTCCCGCTGAGCAGGGAGCCTGATGCGGGGCTCGATCCCCGGACCCTGGGACCATGACCTGAGCCGAAGGCAGACGCTTAACGACTGAGCCACCCAGGTGCCCCAAAACATAGTAAACTTTTGAATGAGACATTCCTTCTATGATTTCTATTTGCTCTTTGGAAGTAGAGAGAGTATATGGAATTGTACATTGTTACTAAGCTATATTGACCAAGGGCCACAATGACTGTGGTTGGACCCCTTCCAAAGGCACATTTCTATCAGGACAATCTTGAGATGACGAGGCATGAAAGAGGATGAGATTTCTGAGTATGTGGTTACAGTAATATCTGTCAAAGCATGGCTTGCCAAATACCTGCATCTTAAATACAGCTAAATATAGATTCTTGGGCTTCAACTCAAATCAACTGAACCCAAATTTCTAGGAGTGAAGCCATAGAATCCACAAATTCTTCACTCTAACAAACTTGCTCAGGTGATTCTGAAGTTTGAAAACCATTGATCCAAAGGTTGGTGCAGTGAGAAATATGCCAAGAGGGTCATAATTGAGATGAAACTTAGCAATTTGCTGTTTATCCCCTTTCTCAATGTTCTCCATGTTCCCTAACCCTTATGTACCTTCTGTAATGGTTCTACATTACCTTGAAATAGACAAATGCCTTGGGTTATCACATTAGAAATATAAAACTAGGGGCCCCTGGGTGGCTCAGTTGGTTGAGCATTTGACTTTGGATTTCGGCTCAGATCATGATCTCGGGGTCTTGAGATGGAGCCCTGTATTAAGTTCTGCTCTGGGCATGGAGTCGGCTTGAGATTCTCTCTCCCCCTCTCCCTTTGCCCCTCTCTCCACTTGCTCTCTCTCTCTCTCTTAAAAAAAGAGAGAAATATAAAACTAAATTTATAGAGGGTGAAGATAATTTTTTTTTTCCAACTGAAGCACTCAGAGAGAAGAATCAAACTGCACTATCATCCACACTCATATCATGGATGACTGGATAGACTGTGCTTTCACCTGTGGTGTGGACTGCCGAGGCCAGGGCAAGTACCCATGTCTTCAGGTGTTTGTGAACCTCATGCATTCAGGTCAGAAACTCTCCTACATTATAATGAAGAAGCTGTCCAGATAAACTCCAAGGTAATGTAAAGTTCATGTAATTAAAGAGTTCTCATTATAGCCTTCCTTCCATGCCAGACTGTCCCCAGCAGAGTGCAGTCTCCAGGACCATCTCTAGGGATAAAGCTGTTTCCCTCCAGTGAACGCCTCTATGGTGGTCTAATCAGGATAAAGGAAGCTAAAAGCATTCTTGAGGAAAAAATGGGGTATATAGAATGGAAAGGAATTATTCCAATTTCACAAACTGGTGTCTAGAATTTACAGGCTGAGCCAGTCATTTGTGGGCAGTCTTACTTTTGGAGGTCCCACTCTCCATCGTATCAAAAATGTTAAAATGTACTCACAACCCACCTTAAATCAAGTAAACAATTTTTCTTATCAAAGAAATTTAAAGAATTATTATAATTTTGATTTTAATAGGTTACTAAATTGGTTCATATGTTTTTAGTGTATATTTACACCTAACTATGAAAATTAGGTTGTATTAGATTAGTTGACATGCTATACTTTGTTGTCTTTACTTAGGCACTAATCCATCTGATGATTTCTCTTTTCTGTTTTGGATGCAATAATTTTTAAGGTCTCAAACATTTCTGTAGGCCCTAAGCCCAGTGCCATGGATGCCTAGTGGATATGCTGAAAAACCTCAAGCTTTTTTGAAAAAAAAAAAAAAAAATCACCAGCTGACAGATCCCTTCACTGGTTCTGCCTTCCAGGAACCAAAACCTATGTAGGACCCCTCTCTGTGGGCCTAGGGCAGAAGTCACAACATGCTACCCTTTAGGGAAAGATTTTACTATGGGAAATCAAGACAACTAGGCTAGAGGCATTCATAGGTGTTGAAAGCACATGGTGAGTTCAATAGATATTTGTTGAATGGACAAAGACCGAGTGCCTGTATGTGGAGGGAGCATGGTCCTTATGAAGCTGGTCACTGCCTCTTCAGCAATGTCTGTATTTTAAAGAATTCCTTCCCACATTTCTGCTTAGTGCCTGGAAATGGCCATTTCACTTGGTGCCCTCCTGCCCACCCTTCCCTATGAGCTCTGCAACAGGTTTCATCACCTTCTGAGATCGAAACTCTCCACGAATAGCTTCAGTTTGAAGCTCTTTCAGAATTAAAACTGTTGTTTAAATGCTTGGTTTGGGGACAGTGTCCTCATCTTTCTTCCTCCTCCATATTCCTAGTGCTTTTACACACCCAAAGGCCACCAAGACAGGAATGACTTGCTCAACAGTGCTCTGGACATAAAAGAATTCTTCGATCACAAAAATGGGACACCCTTTTCATGTTTCTACAGTCCAGAGAGCCAATTTGAAGATGTCCTTCTCATAAAAAAGTACGACCAAATGTTTATCTTCTACTGTTTATTCTGGCCAGTGCTGACTCTGCTAGGTGGTGCCCTGATTGTTGGCATGGTGAGATTAACACAGTACCTGTCTCTACTGTGTGAGAAATATAGCACTGCACACAGAGATGAGGTAGGTGGCAAAGTACCTTATATGGAACAGCATCGATTCAAACTGTGGAGTGTGGGGAGGAGCCAAGAAAGGGGCAGAGAAATCTCACGATGGTGGCCAAATTAATTGAGTACTTTTGGCCTTCGGATGCTTGGCAATTTTTGCGCCTGAGGACCTAATGGTGCCTGCTTGCAGACTAACCATGTAGAGGCAATTCAAATTAAGTATGATATTTCACATGGGAAACATTTTTAAAAAGCCTCATTATGTATTCCATCTATTCTATAAATACACACAAACTTTTCCTCTACCCCACATTTCTTTCCATGTGAGCCAAAGAAGCACTTTTGTTCCTTCATGGCAACATGGGCTCCAGGTAGCTGTGCTTGATCTAATTTCGGCTCTCGTGGAACCCGTCGGTGTGGAGTACATGATGAGGGCATCTACCTACTGACCACTGAACAACCAGCCTCGCTGTCGGCAACAGAGTTCACATCAAAGTATTTCTCAAAACAATCTTGGTGAAGAGCAAGTCATTCACTGTTCGGAAGAGAATAATCTGATAACTTCAAAAAAATGTGGGCCTACCATTCTACCTCCCCATTCATGATAAAGGAAGAAAGCGGCTGCCTAGCAAATTCGCTAAGTTTAGAGCTATTCATACTTAACCTTGCCACGTACCATGTAATTTTGCTTTCAGCCACATTTTTCTAGTTAATTACGCTTTCCATAAGCTCATTTTATTCTTTGTGCACATTCTGGTGGGAGTGGGAGAGACGGCCAGAAATGTGAAGCAGGGAGAGGCTGTACTGGATGGAATTTAACATTCATGTCAGATGATCCGCATTGTAGACAAGTCCCACGTGGATAGTCAGCAAATGTCCATACTTTAATTAATGACTCAACGTGGTTATTAACTAATGAATGTCACAAGGCTCTCCCAACAAGTGCTTTCCAGAGTAAGCTGAATAGGAGCTGAAAACAGTTTGTTCTGAAAACCTATGTGCCTTAAAGTATCTTTAAATTTTACTACAAAGTCATACATCACGGACAATAGAAAGAATGAGACTTTTGAAGCAACCTTTATATGCAGATGTAATCAGAACAGAAATTTTGCTTCTAAGTCAATTATTATGCCTTTCCGCAGTGAATGTCAAGTCACAAATGACTAAATAGACTGGATAATTAGAGCAATATTGACTTGACAAGTAATGAACAATTTTGGTGCTTTCTCCTCTTTCGAGTGTGGAATGATAGAAAAAAATATGTGTCTCAGAGAATTTTATGTGAATTCGTAGGCCATAATTACAACTTTTCAGGTATGTATCCTTGGGCAATTCAGCTGAACCGAAATGAAGGTTCACGCCTTTCTCTTCCCATTTAGAAAATGAGGATAATCTCTTCCTTCATGGGGTTAAGGAATAAACAAGGTAGAGTATGTAAAACACCTCGCTCAATTTCTGGCATCTAGTAAAAGTGCTCAAAAATGTTAGTAGATAAAAAATTGTTTGCTAAGTTTCAATATTCAGCCAGCCTTATCCCTCTTTTGGGTATATACCCAAAGGAAATGAAATCAGTACCTCCAAGAGATAATCTGCACTCCCCAGTTCAGTGGAGCATCATTGACAATAGCCAAGATATGTGTCCATCAACAGATGAATAAATCGTGATCTTACACACACACACTGAACACACATATACATGAGGTATGTATTTACATACAATGGAATATTATTCAGACTTAAAAAAGGAGATCCTGCCATTTGCAACGACATGGACAAACCCAGAGGGCATTATGTTAAGTCAGACACAGAAAGGGAAAAAACCTGCATTTCCCTTATATGTGGAATCCAAAAATGTCAAATACATAGAAGCAGAGTAGGATACACATAGAATAGGATGGTGATTACTGGGCGTTGGGGAAATGGGGAGATGTTAATTAAAGTGTACAAACTTTGTTATAAGATGAGTAAGTCTAGAGATCTCATGTACAGCATGAAGACAATGGCAATAATACTATCTTGAGTACTGGAAATTTGCTATGAAAGTAGATTTCAGGTGGTCTCATCACACAGATATACACACACAAAAGGTAACTAGGTGAGGAGATGATACATTGATTAGCTTGACTATAATTATTCACTATACATGAATATCAAATCATACTGTACACCTTAAATATATACAATTCTTATTAAAAAATAAAATTCAGTCAGCCTTGGTACCTTTCATTGGACAGCTGGTTAAAATGGCTAGTGTAGGGAGCTGGAGAAGAGGATTCCTTCCCACCTTCTCTTGGCTAAATATAATATACATTTAAGGTCCAGAACATGCTGTTTAAGAGGTTGTGGTAAATTATTTTGTATACCAAAGACTTTCCTGAAATAAAATAGATGTATGCATACATATTTTAAATCATTTTGCAAATTGAGAGTCTATAGATTACTTAAGGGCACGTCTTAGTCCATTTCTTAGTTTGATACGCATCTAACAACGTGCAATTCTTGGGATTTTTCTCCTAACAAATTCAAAATCACTGATTTAAAACCTAAAAAGTGGAAGTGTGAAACCTGAAATGTTTCAATTACTACAGTTTTCTACTCACAGAGTGCGGCTACTTGGTTCATCTCCTAATCTCATCTCAGGAAAGAGAGACATTATGCTTGGAGAACAAAGTCAATTTAGAACAATGTTAATTCAAAGTCATGCAAACCATTTGGCAAAGAAACAAAATTTAAGCTATTACTTGCTGTTAATTGCTTAGAAGTACAAAGTATCAATGTCCACATGTATTACTGGTTCAAGAAAAGCCCAGACTCCCCTTTTGCAAGGTTTATGATAACTGAAAGCAAAACCAGTTTGCTTCTAGCCTAACCTCACTTATAGGTTCTGGTCTTTAACTGACTTCTGTCTACATATAGACAAACACATTCATACGTTTATGTGTATACATGTATTTTTGCTTGAAATACAAACACATAATTCCTTATACTTAAAGGAAGTTAAAATACAAACAGATATTTCTCTCAATATTCATCACTTTACTGGGGCAGAAAAATTGGCTCTTAAGGCGTAATAGTTTCAGGTTTTTAATCAACTATTCTTAGTCATTATTGGTAAGAACTCAAGTTCAGCTAAATTCTGATTATTAGCAACACCGGTTTGCTTTTAAGTATTCAAAAAAAGGCAAAATTATCACTTTTTTTTTGTTTGTTTGTTTAAAATACATAGTACACTAAGGATTGTTTGGACACAAGTCATTTTTTTCTTTTTCTTTTTTTAATAAACAGCGTGAGGTTACAGACTGCAAAGTTAAAAGAAAAGCAGACATTGACAGTTTCTGATGAGCACAAACAGTAAGTGCAGTCACAGGCCAAACTTCTTGCTAGGAACAGCAAGACTGGGAAGCGGTCTTAAATTTAGTGACACTGTATTATTCTATATTCTCAGTACAATAACACATGCATCTTGCTGTGTCAAATACTTTCGGGGCCATCATTAAAAGAACATTTAAAAACATTTTTCTCCTAACAAATGCATTATACCATAGGACTTCAATTCATAGAATGACAAAATATAGAGAAACAGATTTGCTACAATAAAAGGGGCCAAAAAAGGGTGGTGGGGGCTTCTTCTGGAAGCTTCCAAAGTCAACATTTGATGTGTTAGTAGTCTTCTTTTGGTAGTGCCACATTCTCCAAGATATTAAAAGTGTTAGGTTCCAAAAGGATATATTCTTTTAGATTTTATTCAACCCAATTAAGTCCAAGGACTAAGTCACATTGAAACTATTAATTGTATTTGAAACTTAAGTTCCATAGCCAAAAACATTTCTAGAAACCACATGAAGTCCAAGCCCTCCAAACCACTCTTTGGAACAAAAATTAAAACAGATAAGGGGCTTTTTCTTATGAAATTGATAGATCATGACACATTTGGAAATTCATACTAGAATTAAGAAGTTTAGTCTTATTAAAGATATTTTGAGAAAATATAAAACAATGAAAGTTTTCTGCCTCCTTGCTTACTCAGAAGGAGGAACAAAAGTAAGAATCACCTAAAAATATACATGGCTCTTAGCATAACCACAAAATTATTGTAGTGACAGATTAAATAAGGTTTCAGATAGATTTATAGACTTAACTGGCTTACAAAATGCATTAAAAAAAAAACCTTTCCATACTTACCAACGTGAAGAATGGAGTCTACTGCTGGTAGTGAAAATCAGTTACCTAAACTACACTAAACGTACAATGGACTGATTCCCACCCACCCCCCCCAACCGCCCCCAACCCTCTACTAAAACTCATATGTAGTTGTGTAAAAGTTAAGTCAGAAAATTTCCTTATGGCTCATAACTGTCACTTTATGCTAACTAGCATGGCTGTAATATTAACATGTCTAAAACTAAGGAAAAGGAATGGCGCTTCATGAATAAAAAGGAAGTGTGAAACCTTAATCAAGTGGAATACTCGGATGAAATAAGCTTATTGAAAAACTAACATCCCAACTTGGGAAACTCCTAATAAATTCTAAACACTTTTGAACTTTAGAACCTGATGTTTACACCTTTTATAAAAGATGCCTCTTGACTAGGGCTAGCAAGCAGTGTGTACACAAATAGAAATGTGTGCAAATATACACACACTAATTTCACTAATAATAAAGAAAAGAGAACACAACTAATTTCGAATGCCGAATTCAAGAACCTAGTACCATAAGCCTCCTGGCGCTACAGCCTTTTCCATGGCTGGAGCAATGATTAAATTTTAACTGAAAATTTTTCTCAAGTCTCCAATGCCATTAAAAATAAGGCATGCCAACTCTGACTTTTTATAAGTCTAAACTACAGTGCTCTGGAAATTTCTGTAACGTAAGAGCCTGAAGCACTGAATTGTGACTCATTTATTTATTTTTTCTTATTAACCTTCTGAGGTAGAGTTACCAATCCAATTTTATCAGGACTGTAGTTATCTTGAGCTAAACCCCATAATCTTTTCAGAAAGTGAAAGTAGCTTTTGAAAGAAAAGAAAAAAAGGCTTCCCAGGCCATGGCACATAAAATACACTTATAATTTTAATGTAATAATTAAAAAATAAAAATGGTTTGTGTTTATATTTTAAAAA